CTTGGCAACAGCTACAACATGTTTTAAGCATCTTGGCAAAAAATCAGGCTACTCTAGATAAGCCAGTAAAGGCAGTATTTAACTTATATTTTGGGACTGCTGTTGATCAGTTTGGAACAAGTGCTGTAAAATGCCATGTGTTATGGAATCTTCACTTTGAACTGGAGAGAACAAGAATTTAGTGGGTTACGAGAGAACAGCAGTGTAGAGCTAAGCCGAATTTGGGCTGCTGCTTGGTAGTGAGCTAGTGATGCACATGGGGGAGGCTGGCGTGGGAAGCTTGATTTCTGGGTCAAGGTTTTACCTACCCTTAGTGATCCTTTGGATAGCACATAACTCTGAAAGCTTAAATTAAAATATTTTATATGCCGCCTCCTTCCAAAACTTCCTAGTTTGAAGTGAAAATGACAAGTTGGAAAATTGAAGAGTGAGGTTAGTGTACCACAGATATGATGAGATCATATACCCTCTACCAGTTGGTCCAGTAGTCTCTGCTTAACAGTCAACACAAGGAAGGAAACATAATTAACCCTAAGATGGTCAGTGTAAGTACAGACTATTACAAAAGACTAGCAGAGTGGCAGTGAGATACAACTCTTTTTGCCAGTGACATCTGAGAGATACTTCTGTGAATTTTCTGAATGAGACACAGAGGTTTAGCCAGTGGCAACATCTTTGACTTCCCCAATCCTAAATGGTTGCTCTTATTTATATGTACAGTAAACACAGCAACACGTTTACCAGGAAGGAGCTGCTGGGCTTACCTTGCGCATGTGGAGATATGGTATTAGCTATCAAGTCACCTCTAGGATTAAAAAAAGTATGAGTCCAGGTTTGCAGTATAGAATGATTGCATTTATTGTGGGGAGTTCACACTTGGACATAACACATCTCGAATTCATCCCCTACTCCTTCTACACCTCCACGTTCCTTCCAACTCTTTCTCCCCTTTCTGTTTACAAAAATTTTATTTCCAGTTTTTTCTTTAATTTTTTTGGAAAGAGGGTGGAAAAGAATTGAAAAAGTTGTCTAGAGAATTTTTAATTTGGTTGGTGAATATTTATTTTTCTGTCATGATGGGTTTAAGTTTTCTAAGTTCTAAATCATCATTGACAGCAAAGCTGGTGTCTGTGTAAGCCATCTTGAATGGCAACCCAGTAATTAAGTGTTAAGAATTCTGTGTTTACCAAAAAATGCAGTATGGCAACAATCAGAAGTATGCGGTTAGGTCAGATATCCTCAGAATTGGGAGAATTGCACATGGTAGGCTTCCAGTTCTTCCTGTTTGCAGCCAAGGTGGAGCAGGTGGAGATGGGAAGAAATAAGAACCGAGGAGTGATTATTTTTGACATTCAGAGATAAACCAGGAAAGCCATGTTTTCTTTCCAGGGTACTGGCTGCAGTGTGGGCTGAGAGAGACTCCCAAAACCTTTACAGTTTGTTGGAACTCACACCGTCTGTCAGGGAAAGGCATGTGCTGTAGAGTATTTATTTGAACACGTGACATGGAGGCTCCGGCCAAATGGAGGAATGCCCTTTGCCTGCACCCCTAAATGTGTGGATTCCAGTAATTTTACTTTATAGTTCTTAGCAGCAAGAATGTGGCCTTTATTTCAATAGCATTTAAAACAATCACCTGTTCCTTATGAATTATAGCTGTTTAAGAAAATTTTGCTATTTCTGTTTTCATTATCTCTGGAAGCAGTTTTTTCCTGGAATTTCTAGCAGAGATTTTTTTTTTTTGAACCTAACAAATTCCCTTGTAAGAAACAGATAACTATCCCCGATTCTTTGAACATCTTACTACTTTATAGACTCACAGGGTTGGAAAATTTGGCTGCCAAATTTCTGTTTTTCTTTTTGCATGTAAAACAATGCCAAGCCCTCAGCATCTGTGGCTCCCCTAAAAGTTTGAAGTCGTTTTCTAATTATAATTTAAAAATAGCCATCAATCTTCATGACATATCTGTGAGACATGGAAAGATATTTTAATAAAAATAAATGCTGAGACCCACCTATGATCCACAGTAACATTTTCAGCAGTAATGCTGGTCCTGCTGCTCATGAAGACAGGTTTCTGTGGGGTTGATAACGATGCTTCCATCTCAGCTCACCTTGCTTGTGGTGTTCCTGTTATTTGGCATATATGGCTTCTTAAATATTGGGCCATCACTTTGAAAAAGCATCATCACCACCCACCAAACAAGATTGTCTTGGTCTAAGTGGAGAGCAGTTAAGTACTTGATAACACAGCCCCACAGTTCCTGACCTCTGACGTTCTTCTTAACCCTGGCATCATTTCCTACTCCAGCTGAGCATAAGACTGAGGAGGAAAATTTAGTTCCCAGTAATAGGTGGGAGGAGAAGGAGGATACTTGGAGTCTGAGATTGCTCGGTTCAGTGCCGTCATTTCCCTTGGCAGTTCCTGGAAGGCAGGGTCTTGCTTTGGGGATATTCTGTTTTATCCTGCTGTGAGGAGCCCCACAACACACAGCTGTGTGAGAACTGGAGGATCGTGGCTTCCTGGGCCACCACAGCGGCGCGAACAGCATGGCTGCCGGTGAGCGTGAGGGATACTTTTGGATTGGCATAAAGGTTCTAAAGTTGGATTATGGTGATAGTTGCACAACTCTTCATTGAATTATACTCTTATGATGAGTGGATTTTCTGATTTATAAATTATATCTCAATAAAGGTGCCTGAAAGGGAACCCCCATTTGCACTGGGTGCCCTGGTAGCATGGCCCTGCGGAGCGTGTGCCCTGTCTGAAGCTCCCCGCAGGTGGCAGGGAGTGGGAGCAGGGCAGGGAGGAGGCGCCTGCCAGCCGATCTGCCTCAGGGCAGGGCCTGTGCTCACAGAGTGAACTAAATGGCCCTGTTGGATGGTGACACCTCAAACCAGGTGCCAAGAGATAAGGTGTTTGAAGGTTCACTCCATGAATCACCGTATCTCATTAGGTTGAAGTTTTCCATAAACAGAAATCTTACTTACTTTAAAACCCTGTCAGCCCATATCTATCTTTTAAATGACTTGATAGAATGTACTGTACAGATGCAGGTAAATATATTAAATCTTTCTATGTAACGGGCACATGACTAATGTCGCTTAATTACCTTTTCCCCTTAATTCCCATTATTTTACATGGTGTAGAAAATATTTAATGTGACAAGTTGTAAAAAAATTTTTTGACCTCTTAATTAGTGTGTGTATATGTGTGTCAGAGAGAGAGAGAGAGAGAGAGAGAGAGAGAGAGAGAGAGGGAGAGAGAAATATATATATAGAGAGAGGGAAGGAGAGAATGTTTTCCTAATTCCTCTTCAGGGTTTGGTTTACTGAAGATATTGGTTGGCTCTTTCACTCTTGTGGAGAGGTGAGATAAAGCTGCAGGACTCCCTCAGTAACTGGAGGGCAGGAAACAATTGACACTGTTTCTTAATTCACATTGTTTCTGAGACATTTCCGACTTCCTCGTATAATATAGCTTTCCCATGAGAACAATTTGCTTACAAATGGTTCAACCTGATAAAAATCTCATTGGCACATGTTCTGTGGGGAGAATACCGATGCTTTGTACCAGCAAGTTGTGTGGGGTGTGTGTGTGTGTGTGTGTGTGTGTGTGTGTGTGTTGAATGTGGGGAGCTCTGCTTCATGTAAAGATGCCTCCAACTGTATTCCACGTATCTGTATTTCCTTTTGAATTCTAGTTCATTCACTTAGGAGTCTCCCTTCCTTCTTGGACTCTCTTGCAGCTGTGTACAATTCTTTTCATCCCTGCTCATTTAAGGAAATGCTCCTGTGAATGACAGTGTTTTTAGACGGACCTGAGGAGTGACTGGACGTGGTCCACCACGGCTGACCTGGAGTGGTGTCGCTTGTGCACGACAGGGTGTGCGGCGTTATCCAGAGCACCGCACAGTCTCGTCAAGGAACACTTCTAGAAACCGGAACCGAAACCTGTAGATGAGACAGTGTAATCTAATTTGCAGGTCAAAAGAGGGTTCACGTTAGTTCCGAAACGAGGGTCCCCACATTCAGAAGTTATGCTGTATGTAAAACAAAAGTAAACGTTTTCCAGGTTTTTTAAAAAAAGATGTAGAACTTCACATTCCTTTTTTTCTTGTCTTACCAGATTTTGTAAAAATAACGCCACTTGTCAATTTTGCAGCTCCTTCCATCTAGAGAACTGACAGTATTTCACAATCTTTTTCCTCATGCCCTTCTCTTCAAGGCAGTTTTTGCTGGGCTGAGTTTATTTTTGTCATTGCAACAACCAGTTTTTAGAAACTTTTAGAAATGAAAAAAGGAAGACGAGAATGGCACTGTAGCTGACATTCATTTTAACTGTTTCCTAGTGTGAACATTTGAGTATGTCTAAAAATCTCCTCTCCAAGTATGTCTTATTTTTCTCAATTTGTCCCAGTTCTAAGTCTCTGTTCTGCTGATTGGGTAAAAAAAAAAGTTATGCTGTAAAACCTTATCCTCAGCAAAATGACTTTTTGAACTTGGAATAAGGGCTTTATTTTTCTAGCCTCCACAGCACCTTTTCTAGCTCCTGTGTCAACATAATGACAGCCTTGTGGAAGGTTAGAGTGGGAAAGGCCTCTGGGGTTGCCCAGCTTAAGGCTCTCATTAGATAATGATGAGGTTGAGGCCCAGAGTGATTAAGACACAAGCTGAAGGTCGTAGAGGTGATGATGGTAGAGGTTATCAAGGATTCTCGCTTTTTGGTTTTGTATCCTTTGATTATCCTAAAAAAAAATCAGACAACCCAACAGAACCCCTGTGTACCCTCCCCAAATCCTAGTGTCATGCAACAGGTGCAATTCTACTGTAGCTAACTAAAAATGGAGAAGAAATTCTATTTTTTCCAGCCTGAGTTTTTCAGTTGTAGAATGGTAATGTGGAGTTCATAGACTTTCTCTGCCCTGCGGGTCTTGTGCCATGTGTGTGCAGAAGAGAATGAAGCTTGAAATGACGAGTGATCTGTGTCTATTCCTTAGGCCACCACACCATCTACATTGGAGTGCACGTGCCCAAGAGCTACCGGAGAAGGAGACGGCACAAGAGAAGGACAGGGCACAAGGAGAAGAAGGAGAAGGAGCGGATCTCTGAGAACTACTCTGACAAGTCAGATGTGGAAAATGCGGATGAATCCAGCAGTAGCATCCTAAAACCACTCAGTGAGTACTCTTGGTGCTGTTGCCTCTCTCTGCCTTACTCCCCACCCTTGGGAACAACACTTTCCAGAATTTTCCAGCTGACATGGGGAGATGCGGTTCTGAGGTGGTCTGCCCTAATGGATAATGTCTGTGGAGATGTGCCAGCAGCTTGATATATGAAGCCATCTAGAAGATTCTGAGTTGATCAGAAGAGATCTAACAAAGGTTGGGCAGAGTTTTGTGTTGTACAGTCTGACAAGTGAAACAGGGCACAGTGTTACAGGTAGCATCGAACTATAGAAATCAACAGTGACTGGAAGGCTCTTAAGAGCTCTGTGGATGACAGGTCTGCTTTAGAAGTAAGTTCTCTTGAGACGGTATGTTAAGAGGAAAGTGTATGCACACACACATCTTTCCACATGCCAGGGTTACAGGTGACATTGGAATAGCTCATGCACTTGGTCAGTGATTTAAAAGGGAATACAGCGGGCCCTCAAGTTATGACTGGCCTGACATAGGGACAACCTGGGTCATGACCAGAATTTTAGTTTTAACTTACAACCAAAGTCTTGAGTTAGGACCTGAATGCAGGCCGCTTGTGCTTCCAGATGGTCTTATATGCAGAGTTAACCCTACAGAGCTCTGGAAGGAACATTACAACATCCTTTCCTGTATGGGGTTGGTTGAGAAATCCTGGGCCAGCGTCTCTCGAAGGACACTGAGATCTGTGGAGTACAGGAGAGAGACTCTGAAGGCTGTGTAGAGGAGCGTGAGCTTTCAGTTGACAACTTGAGTTACCGTCAGTCCTTGCCACCAAATTGAGTTCGTAAGTCGAGGGTCCATTGTAATGGAGAAGCTTCGCGTAACTCGGAGAGGAGCGTGGAGCGACTGTTCCTGAAATGTTGAACATAGTACACGTCATGTACTATTAAAAATGTTATTAAGAGCAGAAAGAGGTCAGAGAACATCTCTGGTGAGTGATAGAGTGGATTGTGTGTAGACCTACACTTGTGTTGCTTTTTGTTTTCTTTGAATGTGGAGAATACTTGGCTGCATAGGTAGCCTTGTGGCTGCAGTAAAAATGGTTACATACAGTAGAAACATATGCCAGTGTGTCAGTCAGTGCTCACTAGAGAAGCAGATTTAACAGAATCCATATAAATATATAAGGATTTACAAGATAGGCTTACAGTGGCCGCCCGCAGAGTCAGGGGTGGAAGAGTGCAGAGAGGTCTGTGCGCTGGAGATCTGAAGGATCCAGTTGGAGATCGAGGGCCTGGAGCTCACTGTAGAGTCCCGTGTGAGTCCACGTGAGGAGGCTGAAAAATATGCGCTGGAAGTCAGGGGACGGTGTCCAAGGTGAAGGTGAAGACTGGAGCTCCTCTGAAGAAACAGAAGTGAACCTTCCTCCTCCATTTCCCTTTTATTCCATCCAGGCTACGAGCCTATTGGTTGGTGCCATGCACACCCAGGGTGGGTCTTCTGTTTTCAATAAATCGCTTCAGTCACACCCAGAACTATGCTGATCCGATTAGTTGGGCGTTTCTTACTCAAGTTGACACAGTCAGTTTACTATCATAGCCAGTTTGGGGAGATCCCCCAACAGGAGCCCGACATAGACAGGTCTTCATTGGCAGAGCACGCGCCTTCTTCGTCTCCTCACTGCTGTTGCAGAAATGTGGGCCCTGTGGTCAAATGCACTATAGGTGGTACGTAAAGATCGAGTCCCATCACTGCAGGCAATGACAGGCCAAGTCAGAAGGAACAGCGCAGGGGTGGTGAGCGGAGAGCTTCAGAGGAGGTGAAAGCAGGCGTGAAGTGTAGCGATGGGACTTTCATAGTCTCACGACTGGAACCAAGAGGGCGGCTTACAGTGTTAGAGATCGAAGGTGGGAGGACACCTGGGGGATGGACCACTGAACTAAAAAGTGTCAGAATAAATGCAAGACTTAGAAGGGAACAGAGGGCAGAAGACTTAAGTTCTGCGCTTTTCCCTGGAATGTCAGGGGAAAGTGTTTCTCAAAGGGACCATTCATTGTCAACTAAATTAGGGGATCTGTTTTAGCAACGTCCTTGAAATGCATATAAAAGGCCACAGTTAATAGTCTGGAGGAACAAAAGATAACATCATCTTCCAAATAAATCACTGTGGGTTATCTCTGTTTACAGTGGGTTTTGGCAAGGCCTGATTCCGTGTCAAGGAGGTCTTCTTCCCCAGCATGTGTGATTGCGCAGTTCTCTTGACAAGTCATATCTCCTGCTGCAGCTGTGTAGCAAGTTTGGAAAAGGAGAGGTGCCCACCTAGACAACTGGGCTGAGGGAGTTTGAGCCACTAGCCGTGCACCAGCTTGTTAGGAAGGGTGATGGGAACACTTAGGTAATTAGGAATGAGCAGATGGAGAGACACTGAGTCTGAATGTGTGTTGCTTGTGGAACAGTGCTGCTTTCTGGCATCTGGGGACCCATTGGCATGCAGCACGTAAAATAAACAAGGCGGATCGTTGAGGGCAAACCCTGGAGGACTCCCTGGGGGATGTTGCTTATACTATGCGCTCGATTTCCCAGCAGTTTTGTGGAAAGACAGCTGTTAAGGACTGGATAGTATAATAGTGATACTATTTATAAATTTGCATTTTATAGTTGTTTTTTTCCTGCTGGTCAGTGTGTGATACTGTAATACGCCTTTGAGATATTTGACATGTGGCACCCAATTTGGTATGAAAGTTTTTAACAAGCTATGCTTATTTTCTCTGCTGTTTAGCATGGAGGCTAGAGAGATTGATAGTTGATTTATCTGGTGCAGCTCTACTTAAAAGTCAAAATTGTTACACCCAGATATAGAAAACACTTATTCCTATGGCTCTAGCACCATCCTGAGAAAAGTTGCTCACTGAAATATCAGCCCAATGTGCTTTTACAGTTTCTCAAGAACAGATACACATAGTTCCCATTATTCTTGCACCAAGGGTGTTTGAGTTACTCTATCTGTAGACATAGCATTCTCATAGGTACTGGCCCCACATGGGCCACAGTACATCCTCTGATGCTTATATTTTCTTTTGAAGAAAGTTTCAGGCAACTCACATGTGGGTTGGTAACTTGATGTGAGCCATCTTTTTTCCCCCTTGCTTTTATCCTTCTAGTGACTTTTGTTGCTTCCACTTTTAAACCGTAAAGCTATCTACTCTCCCTAGTTTTGGTGCTTCATTTTGGTCCAGGGAATTTTCATTTTGTGCGCAGACAACAGAACAGGCTTTGCTTGGGAAGTGTCTGCACAGATGCGGTGTGGGGATGCTGAGGGGTATACCAGGCGGAACCGTGCGTGTGCTGGGCACCCTGGCCCGCAGTGTCTCTGCAGCCTGCCGTAGGAGCTCTGGCCTTTACTCCAGTCACTTTCAGTTCTTGGTGCCCAGACGTTTTCTAGTTGAGGGCATTTGCCCTTTGGAGCCCGTCTGCTTGGAGCAGTTACCTGTTCTTGTCCTATTAGCTGTTCTCCTTCTTTATCTTTCAGCTTTTACATTTGACCTTGTCAGAGAGGCCTTTCCTCACTGTTCTAACCAAGTGCCCTAAGGTTAGTTTTCAGCGCCTCAGTGGCTTCCTCTATAATAAATTGTTTAGTGTGCCACGTTTGCAGCCTGGGGTTTTTTCTTGAGATAAGCTGGATTGTGTGCTCCAGAAGAGCAGGGACCCTGTCTTCTGCTCAGCGCCCCGCAGATTGTCTGGACCGTAGGCTGTGCTCAGAGCAGGGTGAAGGTAACTGACGAATGGCTTCCTGAAGAGGAGAACACAAACACTGCTTTTATTGGTCTAAATATAACCCACGTTCTAGACAAAGGCCTGACTGATTTTCTTGTCTTTAAGCTTTGTGCCCAACTTTCTGTTTCCCTGCCTGGCTTTCCTTCCACACCACATGAAAGCACCCTAACTTTCAGTTATTCCACCTTGACCGTCCACGGGACTGTCTCTTTCATCCTCCTATTATTATTATTTTTTTAATCTTCCAGAAGTAGGAGGAAGCACTTTATCTTTAGATCTGAGAACAAAAGCTTTTTATATTAAAAACAATTGAAAACTTTGCCTTTTTAGAAGGGGCCCTTGTGATATAAGTCCACCTTGGAAAGTACCTCATTATTCTACCTGTTACCACAATGGTACTTTTGGTCTGAGGAGATGACTCCTGAGTGTGTGCAATTGCTTGTTATCCAGAGGCAGTGGAAGAAATTGCTCCACAGGACACATAGGTTCATGGAGTACACTTACAAATGCTCAGAGCTCTACCCAGGCCCCGGGCAACGCTGGTGCAGAGCCGCACTCCTGAGGAGGCACAGAATTGAATAAGAAAGGGCACTTCTAAGATGAAATACACCACACATGTCCCAGTCCTTAGGCATATCAGGAAGATGACATAATTAACAGGTTTGCTGAGCCGGAGAACTGAGACTATTTTTTTCTCCACTGCACTAGTGTCAAGATGCAGGTTCTCAAAAGCGCGGTGTTGGCTTTGTCTCAGTTTGCAGCGTTCGTTCTTTGGTCAGTTCCTGGCCAGTGCACGTCCCAGTGTGGGTCTGTGCACACGCAGAAGGAAATGTGTGTGAGCGGGAGAGAGGCTGGGAAAGAAAAGTGAACTGGAAGAGCATGCAGGAGGAGAGACAAGGGAATGCGGAGGTGGTGTGGAGTGGGTGGTGGAGAGAAAAGTTAGATTGTGCTCTTTCTTAAAAATAGCCCCCTTGCCTCCTCCACCTTGCACTTTTTTCCCCCTAAGTTAGCAGCTGCCATCCGCTGAGGGTTGCCTGAAAGTGGGTGGGAAGATGGTCCCAGCAGTTCACGGCTTCCCACCCTGGTGTTTTGATCTCTGCACTTCTCGCTCAGTGAGCATCCTAGGGTGTTCCTTTGGGCACCAGAGGCCACCTGGTGACTGCAGACACTGCAGATGTGGGCGCTGGTAGGAGACGCAGCCACAGACAGGACACCCTGCTTGGCACCTTGATCAGCGTTTCTTGACAGGCTGGAGCCTGCCGCAG